TCACTCTGAGAAATGAAACGTCAATCTTTTACATTGTGACATTTGGGAGATTTTGTTGAGTTGGAGTTGATGATGTTGAATGTGGCATAACCGGCAAAATGAGATTTTGGGTTTGCTATGGAATTTGACATTTGCATATTTTACAACGCTTCATTTGTCAGTCTTGCTGAAATTAGTGTTGAGCAGTTGTCTTTTCCTAATTAAGAGAAATTAACATGATCTATTTTCAGATCTTATAAAACATTAGGAAGAGGAAATTTCACATCACAGGATTTGTTTTTACAACTGATGTTGATTGCTGGTGAAATTCTTTTAATTTCCTAGGCTTCAAACATGTTTCTTTGTAACATCAAATGCATTCCAAACAATTTACCCAAATTCTAGGAAGCCAACATTTCAGTAATATTGTGGTCTGTCAGTAACAGGAGAGACCTTTCTTTCATTTCTTGCCAGGCTTTCTATTGCCTTCTATTTAGAATTTAAATCCAGTAATTTGATACTGTGAATGCAAGCTTTATTTGCAGGCATTTATGGCAATGGACAGTGGTAGTAACAAGCATGCCATGTGGCCGCCATGCTTTCTGTCTCTGCCTTGTTGTAACGGTTAGTCCATTCAAGCTGTGGCATATAGGTCAATGCAGGGTCAGTCACTACCTGACTGGCCACTAGCTGTCTGGGAAATATAATGGAGTAGCAGGGAAGGGAGGAAAGTGGGAGGTAGTAATTTATGCCCTGGGGCTGAGAGGGATTCCACTTACTGGTCAAGCTTCAGTGTTGACCAACAGCCCTGGCCTTTATCTCCACAGCTGATAAACCCTGCTTTAGATCACTGCTTCTGGGGATAATGGGATTATTGAACTTATTATTTAGAGTCCAGGATGAAATGGCTACTCTGGTCATTTATCACAAAAAGCACTACTATAGCTGTGATTTTTTGTTGTTGAAAATTAATATTGATGTAACTTGTGCTGCGGGTCTTAGCCTGAAGTTTGCTCTTACCATATTCAGTTGATTTTAGTGATATTATATGGACTATTGCTTGCTCAGCTTACTAGACTGAACAGAGTTTTACTTGACTCGGGCTTGGGACAAGTGGCTTAAGTCACAGGCTGTATTCCAGTGGTTTTGATAACGGCTTGGCAAACAGGTCATAAGGGATGTGTAACAGATTCTACAACATACTTGGGTGAGTTTTGACAGGCAGGCTGTACAGAGTTGTCACTTGCTTCAGCTGTGCAAACCATAAGGATATGTGAGCGAGTTAGCAGAGAGAGTGTGTGTAGGTCTTGTGCCATCTACACTTACACAAGCAGCTCACTCCTCTGCTGGGAAAACAGCAAGGGAAAGGTTAGCTTTGTTCTTCTACATATGCTGGAGAGGTTGAGGAGGTTCAGAAAAAAATGTCAGCTTGTAACCAGAGGACTTGTTAGTGTGAGGAGGTGCAGTGAGATGGAGGAGGATGTCTTGCAGTGATATGGAAATAATGCCTCACATTCTGTAATTGTGGGCAGATTTGTTTTTCCAAGGACACTGGATGCTGAGTCTTTGTTGTTCATTTGTCGTCATGTTTTAAAGGCAGAAAGGAATATGTAATGACAGCGGTAGAAACTAACACTTTTAGTCTACGAGTCCTTATCATGATAACATGTATTACAACCCTTAAAAATGGCAAATTTCTACTAGTCCTCATGATACCTTAACTATTGGGCAATTTGGCAAGGACTATAAGGACTTGTGCCAATTTCTAACGCTGAATGACTGTATTGAAGTAGATGTCAGAAATTTTGCAAGAGATAAATGGCACTGGGACATTTTGATGATCACATTAACTACAGATATGGCATTTTTCTAATTATTACCAAATTTGACAAATATCTTTGATTGTCATCCCAGTGTCCTTGAAAATGTACCAATCTGAATGACTGGACCATAGAAATGTTCTTGTTACTATGTTTTGGTGAATAATTATACTCAAAGCTGAGTTTCACATGGATTTCTTGTTAAAGGAACGTAAACTGAACACCATTTCATTTTTCATGCCCTTGTGTATACCACTCAAAAGAGGTTAGGACCACCCAATTCTTTCATATTACTATATAGTTAATCTGTAATGCCATTAGTTTGAGAGAATAGTGTTAAAATTGATCTCTGAGTCAGTCTACCTTCTACCTTCTAATCCTTTTCAGTAGATTTAATGGGTTATTATTTTAACAATTATTACCTGAGCTTTCTGGACGAACAGAATGTCAGAAGATTGGGGCTTCGGACGAGTCATCGTAGTGGCTGTATCTGTATGTGATTGTTCAGCAGTCACTCAAGCACTGAAACAACCCAAATAGAGGTTGCTGCCAAATTTGTTAACCTAATCGCTGTGATCACTTCTAAATCAAGTCTTAAAACGAAGACACTTCGGACTATCGGCCAGTGGGTTGTTATACTATCACCTTGGTAAGCCTAGAGCGTATATATCATCTAACTGAATCCACCTGTCAGGAGAGATTATCTGAACTCTTTACTGTAGAAGCTGGGATTGCTTGGTGGCCAAATCAGTTGATGAGTCCTTTATGGTCAGGGGCCAAGTTGCCTCATTGTCCCAGTTTGGTGGGAACTCTCATGTGTATCAGGTGACTAGTAGGCAGCTAGTTAGTAGACATCTGGACATGTTATCAAGCTCCGATGACCCCTCCTTCCTCCCAGCCCCTGCTTGGACTCTTCTGGTTGTAGGGATGTCACCTAGTTTCATGGTCTGCTGGTTGCAGCCTGTGGACAGCCTACACTCAAATCAGGTGTGAGGTTCATCTACCTTGTTTATCTGTGTGTGATAGATATACACAGGACACTTGACCTACATTATCGATTAATGGGCACTTTCCGCTAGGCCACGGTATTGCAAGTATAGCGTTTGTAGTTTCCATGAATTTTGAATGGATATTTCTGATCTGTGCTTGAATCCATTGCAGTATCTAGTACTGTGAATGACTTGATTGTTGCTCTGTGGGGAAGGTAGAATTAAATGGCACATCAGTAATCAGTGTAAAATACATCAGCAAGATTTTTGGACTAAAGTGGTGCATTTTGCTTTTGTCATCTATTTTCTTTCTGTTTTTTTTTCATCTTGCTAATGTCAAATGGAATCCGTGTTACGTATAATTATTACCAGTACCCTTAATGAGGAATTCAAATAAAAAAAATTGTATGTTTTAAATTATGGGGTGGTGGGGTACCCTTGTGGTTAAAACATTCACTTGTTCCAGGTTGAATCCCCGCATGGGTACATGGTGTCCCCCCACCATGATATTGATGGAATATTGCTAAAAGTGGTGTAACACATCTTTGTTGACGTTATCATATATTTGCATCTACTGTACATTCTATTAGTGGAATTTATACATTTAAATGATTGCTTTTATTGAATCCATGTCACATTCTCTTGTGGATGCATAAGTGAAAAGTCACATTTTATGTAAGACTTTGTATGGCCTTGACCTAATGGTGACTTTATTGTGATAGTCTGACTGATAAAAGACAACTGAATAATCTAATCTTGAATGTAGCGTCTAATGTTGGCTACAAACTGGCAAGAATTTCGTTCCTGTACATCAGAATTAAGAATGCCTGCAATAAGTCTAATGGAAGATTTCATGAAATATTCAGCTGTTGTATGGAGAGTAGTATTAAGGCTGGTTGTTCCAGGGAGGGCATTAGTCAGACTGAGTAGAATGTTCCTCCACTAAAGCCTCCACAGTAGCAGGCAATATAGACAAATTGACTTGGGCCTCATGTGCAAGCTTTGAATCAAATTCTTCAAAAACGGTGGCAACGCAGGACGTGTAATTATTTTGCAGTATTGATTCTGCCAGACCTGAGGTGCAATTTAGCGGGCCAATATGCATAATGTCAAACATTTGTCTGAGGTAAATTTATCCTGATCCAAGTTGAAGGAAGTTTTTGTGGAAGGTTTTTGCTTGCATTTGATCCAGTTCATTAAATCTATTTTTGGGAGTATAAGTGAATACTGGAACACATGGCTTGGCTGTTAGAAATGGATGGGGATAGATGAAGATATGCAAGTCATTGATTTGATGGAGAATAGCATAGATTGTTCGTTATTCTGAAGTATAATATAAGTTCCATCAGTGGTGGTGGATGTTAGCCTTTATTGCTTGTCACCCGTTTAATAAACATACAGCTGTATTACATATTGTGTAATACCAAAACGCGTGCTTATGTACTGTCAGAACAAGTTTCACGAACAAATATTGAAAGCTCTCATCCCTTGGCTTTGCGTGTGGAGATGATAAATCACTGAGAGGAGATTATGCACACTCAATGACCCCAGCAACCTTATTGCTAGGCTGACGTCACATGGCATTGTTTCTCCGATGGATCTTGCATCAAAATTCCACAAATTACGTCATCGGGTATTGTAAACTTTGTGGTTCAGAGCCCCGTTCTACAAGAAGATCGTACTATAGCGCAACGGCAGTCGTAAGTCTATGTTAAAGTATGTAAATTGCGATAACCTCAGCACTATGATAAATTTTTGGAATGGACGCCAGATTTCTAAAGGTGAACAGTTGTATGGTATTAAATTACGTTTCAACGTTTGACGTGTTTGAAGTATTATTCTGTTAAACTCAATTGGATTATGCCGTGGATCATGAAGGTGTCAGCCTATTTACACATGACAATGTAATTCTAAAAACGTTTTAAATGCAAGTAATAAATAAAATACTAAACCCACTCCTGTGTAAAATGAATTTTATGAAACTCATGAATAGTTGTATCTGACAAGCGAAAGCAAGTCAGATACCATAACTATACACGAGTTTAATGAAATTGGTATTACACGGGAGCTCGTTTAGTATTCTATATTTTCGTTGCAGCAGCTGCGTATTGGTTTCCAGTCACCATTCAGAATTGATGGTTTTTCTTTCCGGTTGGATGACTTTTTAGAATGAGTTTGTATTTTGTTTCTCAAGTTTGTGTGTTTGTTGCAGTGATTCTGGCACCATATGGACTGAATGGAACACTGACCGGGCACACATATCGAGACACGGACCAGATCAGTCGCAAGATGTTCGAGGAATGGAGCCAGTTTTACCCCTTCGAAAATAACACCAGTACTGATGACAAGGAAAAACTGCCAAACCTGGTTGAAGTCATTGTTTGTAAGTAATGCAACAGTGGCGTCAGCAGATTCATCCATTGCATTTCATGCAGATCTTAACCCAAAGTTATTATTAGCATATTGCCAATATGATGTGATATTTTGTTCATCAGTTAAATATGAATTAATTAATTTGGAGACCTTTCCTCATCTTTGGACTGAAGCTGTGTGGGGAACAAAAACCTTTTTAGGTTTGAAATTACTGACCAATATATTATTTGCCTTACAGATTGAATACCATATATGACTGTTGATAAGTCGATCTCATAGTTTAACAGAGGTATTAACTTGGTCTTTGAAATCTGTATCAAAATGTTATGTGCAGAACATAAGCCGGACCACCAACCTAAAACTACGTCTTCTTGTCATGATACGTCATCAGAAATATCAACAAATCTGTATATAGTAACGCAAGTTAATCCTGTCATTACACTCTCTGGCCATAAAAAGTGTTCATTGGATATGAATTACCGTATTCGACGTAATAAGCGCCCCACTCTTATAAGCGCCCACTGCGATATTTGCTAATATATTGGCTTGTGAACAATCCCATTTAGCACCCCTTCCGTGATCAGTGTACACAAGACTTATTTATTCGCGTATAATACGCACTCGTGTGTTATATGCATTCTTAATTATGGGCAATTAAATTCTGGAAAAATATATATCTGTCGCATATAAACATTTTAGTCTGTCAGCATAAACCACGAAAGTTATCTTTCAACTCTGTTTTCCACCAATATAATATTCTAATAGGAGCCCCCTATTTCTAATTTTGAGAGCGCCCTGGGCGCTTATTACGTCGAATACGGTATATTTGTAATCTAGCTTATTAAGATTATTCAAAATTTCATTCAATAATATTTTTTTAAGAATTCCGATGAAGTTGTTTGTCCCACTGATTCTTACAACTTCCGTTTACCCCATTCCATAAGGTCCACTTTACCACATTCAGTGAGAGACACCAACTCACACTCTTCACAGCAACCATGATCACATTACCGCTGTTGATGTCTTAGTTAAAAGGGAATAGTTACATAACATAACTGCCATACTGCGATGACTCGTTGCAAGTAATATTTGTTGTAGTTTGACTATTGTATGTCAACATGTTGTTTTTGCAATGGAAGTGTTGACTTGTCAAATTATTCCATGCATAAAAAGTATCATGACCCAGGATATGGTTGTCATTATTTTGAAGATATGTAGTAAAACTTGCAATCATAATAACACGATATCAGAATATGTTATTTGTAGTAAAATTGTAGTTTAAGATACTATTTTTAGACCCCTTTCTATAGAATCTGTTTCTGGTCCTCAAGATATACAGTAGTCATATTTTTTAAATGTAGATTTTGTTTTAGTTAGAAACATTAGTTATATTAAAAATATTCTTCAGAAAATATCCAAATAAGTGTTCAAGGGAGACTACTCTGATACAGTACTGATTTGTGTTCACATTCTTTGGCCAAAATGATATGTAAACTTCTGAAGAAATTGCTCACACAGAGATGGCCATGTTTGGTGGTTGGAAATGGTCAGATGTTGATATTCATGATGTTAAAGTTTCCATTGTATATCTTGGAATAATATTTCACATAACAGTTAATGTGTTTCAAAACCTGGAATCGCTTCAAAATTGAGACATGGCACTTATCAACACTCCATGAACCACCTTCCGAAATAAATACAGGATAAATCTAAAATTATCATATCCTAACCCCATGTTGCAAATTTAAGCTTGATGGCGTCCCTAGGTTTAAGTATTGACAAAAACAGTACGGTTCCCCCTTATTTCTGCTAGGACACTACAAAACATGATTCTAGTGCCAGTTTCTAAGCCTGAAAAACTGTATTCTGTGAAGACGAGTGTTACTATAAAAGATGTATTCAACATTAGGAATGAAAGTACAGCGATCCAGGTTGTAACCTATTGTTAGAAGCAAAGTTATTGGTAGTCCCAAGATAAAGTACACAGCACAGTACAAATTCATGGTTGGCACTTTAGATTCTGCAATATAGATTTTGCTAATGGAAAACATACCTTGGAAAGGCCATGTATGTTCCTTTCTACTCAGTTTCTCATGTAAACTAACCAACAAGAAATATGCTGTTTCATAGTTTGAACAAACCTCTGTTGAAATCTGTTGAGAACTATGAAGAAATCAATTTCATCTATTTATGGTCAGTACACATAGACTTACCTCCCTTCCCATGATCAGCTGCTTCCGTTAAACAAGTATGCTGAATTCCGTAACAATATTAACAAGTAAGTCCTTTAAAATGTGTATTTTGAATGACCTTGAACTATGAGAAGGGAAAATTTAAAAGGCCTTGAGTGTTTGACATTGAGTATGAAAGATTCTGATAAGCCCCAGTATGCAGCAAACTCTGTGGCTCACCTCAACCTGTGCCAGTATGATGCACGAAGCCTTTCCTTCCCTCTTTCTCTCTCTTTTCTTCTCTTTCTACCCCCCTCCCTCCCTCCCTCCTACCCACTTGTGCCACTGTGATGCATTAAGCCTGGTCCACTGGCAGCAGGTGCTTGGTACGATGCATGGATCTTTCATTTTACATCATGTTTTATCTTCCACAGCGAATGTGTGTGTCATATTGCCGGCAACTATTGATTTTGCTAGAGATATATGCTGGCAATTTGATTATCAATTTTATCTAGACTACAGAATGTCTAAATTATGAAAGGTTAGGCATGATTGATAGGAATTGCAGCCAAGGAGGCTGATGGGGTTAAGAATGGGCGCTGCTGCATTATTGTAGGATGCTAGAAAACGTTGATTATTATTTTAACAAATTAGTATTGAGGAGTGGCCTTTAGCAGAAAACTCGAGGAATATTCCCCAGGTATCTTTTGTTTGTTTGTGTTTTGGGAAAACATGTTAAGGATGGAATGACCTGTCCACATGTCTACTTGTATTGATCATGTACACACAACACCTTTATCTTTCTTAATGAGCTATCTTTATACATGATCTTTTCCTGGTGTATTAGCAAATCAGTGTGGATATACATTCTTATGTCCATAGAGATTAGGTGAGATTAACCTGGTGAGTTGAGCTGTTTGCCTGAATAGAATCATCTTGAAGGCTTCTACAATGTCACAGTTTTGGGGGTATTCGTATCATTGATATATGAATTATGTTGCATGATTTATAGGGAAAATATGCTGTGATGAGAAGGCGTGGCCTCTTGTACGTTTACAGATGTGACATGCAGGCAGAGATGCTGTGTTTGTAAAAGTTAAAGTTGATGTGGCTAGGTTGTATTGACCTCGGAAGGACCATGATTAAATGCTTGACATTTGTCTTGACATACATGTTTGGGTGTCACCAAAGGATAATTTCTTCATGTACCTTTAAAGCAGTACAGAGATCTGATCTGAGTGATTGGTCCTTTGTCCTCTACTGATTGGTACTCAACGTCATCCGAAAGTGCCTGTTGTGAAGGAGTGTATGGAAACTATATTTGATATAAAAAAATAACTGTTTCAACTACCAGGCAGCACATTGTCATATTATTTTCATGAATAAATAAAATTGAATAAATGTAACATTTCCTACCGACACATTTCATTAAGCTGTCATTTCAAGAGGGTTAAATTTTGTTTTTACTTTTGAATATCATTGTAACATGTTAATATTATGGCTTCATGCTTTGCCTGAAGTGTCCGGTGGGGATCTGGACACCAGGCAGCACTCTCTTGTTGGTCATAAGAGGTGACTGAGGTGACTTTGTTGATTGGGTATCCTAATACATCAACAACATGGGACTTGGGTTGGGTTGTCAGTCCCAGACTTGATTAGTTACAGGCTGATGAGGGGCGGTCGGGTAGCCTAGTGGTTAAAACATTCACTCCTCATGCCGAAGACCCGGGTTCGATTGCCTACATGGGTACAATGTGTGAAGCCCATTTCTGGTGTCCCCTGCCGTGATATTGCTGGAATATTGCTAAAAGCGGTGTAAAACCATACTCACGCACTCACTCACTACAGGGTGATGACATGGTTGAAATATTGCTGAGTGATGCAAGACAACAAGCAAACTGAAGAAAGTCTATTGTTCATGAGTTTTGGTAATAGACTATTGAAAACTGAAATCATTGCTCAGTGATTTACCAGATCTGATAAGTGGTGCAAAGGGACATAAAAACAATCCAGAGTGTGTCTACTGGGACACAGAAAAAGATGCTAGTGCTCTATTGTATTTTGGTACCGCTTAAAATTAATTTCTGTATGTTATCATTAATAACCCTACAATACACAGTCAGATCCTTCATGGTCTTCTAGCTCTAGCTCTTTGTTGCTGTTTGAGTACTACATATCTATTTTTAACTAAGGGCCTCTGAATCTTACCACACTTGTCACAGAGTACTGTTTTCAGTTTTTGACATTTCTCTAGGACCCCCATTTTTTTATCCCGGGACCTCTGCAATTGAAGACTGAGTCCCTTGGACCTCCAAAATGGATAACTTAAGTAAATCCCAAATATGCTCCAAAATGTATTCATCAGTATTTGATAAGGAATGGAAGATGTTGAAGCTATTAGTTGACTTATGTTTTGTTTCTCTGCAGCGGGTGTGAGGATGCGTTACCCTGCCTCCTTCGTGCTCATCTGCGACAATGAAGACTCCCCTGTCCGCCTCCAGCCCCTCACTGTTAATCCAAGTGTGGGGCCAAGGTCACAGTTTAACCACTCCATGATGAGCAACGGTCCCCTGACACCACCCACCTCCCCAGCAGACAACTCGATGGCGGGCGACACAGGGGTGAAGATCGTGCCGATGACGCCTATGAACGTTGGTATGAGTGAAGGCAGTGTGAACGTCAACTGTATGCCCAATGCTTCCGATGTTCTCGGTCATGCCATCACACAGAAGGTTCTAGAAGATTCCAGCATCACCACCAGCATGGCCAAAAGGTAGATTTGTCTTTGAAGTTGATCATTTGCTGAGAGATGTTGCAGATGCTTGAAAGTATCTTTGAGCATGATAGTGGTACATCTATATGTGTTTTTTACACACCCATGAAGAGACCACTCATTTAATAAACATACAGCTGTATTACACATTGTGTGATACCAAAGCGCATGCTTATGTACTGCAGGAAAAAGTTTCACTAACAAATCAGCGTTAGAAGTTAGCGCAAGTCCTGTAGTCCCAATAGTTAATGTATCATAAGAACTAGTAGAAATTTGCAATTTTTGATGGTTTTCCTATATGTTATCATTATAATTCCCTGGGCTTTTTCAATGACATTGCGTGTAGATATGATAGATCACTGAGAGGAGCTTATGCACACTTGATGAGCCCAGCAACCTTGTTGCTTGGCTGACTTCACATGACATTGTTTTGCTGTTTTTTACTTGCAAGATACCAGAACTATTCACTTGTTTCATAAAATTGGTATCAAATGCCAGTTTGTTTAGTATTCAATATATAGCAATATTGGGATCTATATTGCAATATTCTATTTACTTGTATGATAGGGATGTGACATGTGTTTTTTGTCATGGAAATATATATTGTACAGCACTGCCAAATACCCCTGTATATTTTGTTTCGGACTGCACAGTATTACTGGTGTACTGCAATATGCTTTTCAAAGGCTATACATTGCATTATTTTCTGTGTTCCGGTATATTTGGCAACGTCAGAAATTAACCCAAGCCCGCTAGCCCAGGGCATGTACAAATTCCTGTGGGCTAGTGAAAATTTCCAGTATTCCCATTGTTTTAACATCACAAGAGCATTTTATCCTCACCTTGGCTAGTGAAGCTCTTGAGTTTAGTTCTAACCCTGTTTGTAAATGTTATATAAGGCTAAAAAAAAAAATACTCTTGGTTCTCAGGCATCGCCCCCATCATCATAAAGTTTGCAGCACCTTTCGTTTTTATTTCCATTTAAAAATAAATAAAAAATAAATAAAAAACCCTTAAATATTTCGGTATATAACGGTAGTCAAATACTGTATTTTACCAGTATTTTACTTGACAAAGAGTACATTGATGTAGGGAGGCCCTTTCCCAGGTTGACTGTACACAATTGCTTATTGATTACACAACTGTTTATTGGTTACATATTAGTTTGAACAACAACAAAAAAATAAACAAACACCGCCCACCCGCACTATATTTTGAAATAAACATTGCCTGAGAACAATTTTTTTAATTTTTTTTAAAGCCTAAGAAGTTCGTTATTTGTATCCTTTAACTTAAAATCTACACAAAGGATATTTTCCTTAGAAATTGATTGACAAAACAGCAAAAACACAGAAGTGATTTTTCTATCACGTTGTTATCATGACAAAATGGCGATGAGTGACCATGCTGAGTAATATTTACTTTGGTATGTAGAAAATAGAATCTGCATGTACAATCAGTACCAGTGTCAAGTACTGCAGCTCGAAATAATATCTCAATATGTATCAAAGTATATTGCAATACAAATGTTTTGCAAATACACAGCCCTAATTATGCTGGGGTTGAATGAGGGAAAGCACAAAATACCCAGATCTATTTTGTGATCTGGAAAGTATTTTGTATTCTACTGGCTCTTTATTAACTTGTTGCTGAAACATTGAGCATCCAAGATTTCAATAAAAAGGTTGTGGGTAGTTCGTACTAATTGTGGCCATTATGGTATAAATGAAGATAATGAATGTGATCTGTGATGTTTAGGACGAGTGACACCAGTGAAGAGTTGGCTGCAGGACAGTGGCACTTTGCTGAACCAACTTCCAAAGTCAATTGTGCTTGTCCCAGGTGAGTGATTAGTCACACTGCAAGTTGCTTTTCTCCTCGAGAAACACTTCCTCAGCAGGAAACGACATGAATGTAGATTCTAGGTTTATCCACCAGTTGACACCACCCAAAGTTAAATATGGTATTTGTTACCTTATAAATGCATGACTACTCTGAAATTGGGCCCATGAAAGTTTTCATACTCAGGATAGGTCCCTAGCATTCCATTCGTGTAAAAGCCGGCTTATGTTTTGGAAAGACCAGAAAGGAAGAGTAACTCCCTGGCTGATTGTGTCAGTGCTTCCATGAGGTATTGGTGCTCTCTAGGGCTGTTACGATTCACTCGCATATTCGGTGAATCGAACCATATCCATTCATGAATTGAATTCGTTATTCGTGGCCACTAGAATCGAATATCTATGAATATTCAAGCATGTGCACTTACATACCCTTTACCTAAAAATATCCATAAGAACATGTTATATGCCCAGATTTCTTCAAAGACAACACTTTTATAATAATTAATTTAACAGTATTGTGGTCACTGGTCATTGTCACATTTGAGCAGATACTAGTACCTGGATAAGTCCAGTATATAAATGTATAATGTATTAATAATTAACAAACCATGTCAAATAATTTATGTTGTTAATGTTTCACTGAATATAACAAATAATACATTCACTGCTGACTTTTTATTGTATTCGTGAATTAATATTCGTATTTGTTACCCTATTTTCGTGATACGAATCATATTCGCCTCATTGTGTGTTCGTTGCAATCCTAGTGCTCACACTATCAACCTCTTGTTGGACATTACTTAACTGTTGTAAACGTACACTACCTCTATTACATCATAGCATCATTACATATTTTAGCTGTCATCACTACAAAATCTTAGAAGTTATAACATAAGTCCTCTTCACTGTCAACTATCCATAATCAGTTGCGCAAGAATTAGTATCTTGCTAGCCACACCTCATACTCATGCATGAGGTGGGAAAACCTCACTCCAACTGTTTGTCCTTCATGCAATGTGCTTTTAAAAAAAATAGAATAATAAATCATAACATCTCTACTTTTGTGATAAGTCAAAGTTTCACATGTGTTTGTATAATATGGTTACCCAATGATTGAGCTTTGATTTATTCCCCAGGCAAAGGAAGATGAAAGGTGGTGGGGCAGGTCAGTCGAAGAGTTTCCCCAGTGGGAAACACAAAGGCGAAAAGCAGGAAAAGTTGGAAAGGCAACAGTCAAGGCATGGTCGGAGTGCTACACCTTTTCACAGGCGCTCCCCCATCATGGATGATCTCATGCAGTTTGATATAGACCTCAGGTTGCCTCCAAACCCAGCATTCTGTCCCACTGGCGGAACTACCATAGCTCCTCAAGGGCAGAGCACCCCTAACGAAACCAATGTTGATACACCTTCTGCTCCTTCTCCGTTAGATGAACTTCAGCCCCTCGTCAACTCTACAATGGACCCACCGATGCCGACGTTAAGTCCGCATCCACCTCAAAAACTTATTGGAAACGAAAAGGAAGTGTGTGGGAAACAAACGGGCAGTGCTTCTGAAAACCAGAATGGGTTTATGTGTTCTGGATTCCCGGACTATTATCCTAAGAATGAGGAAGGGGTTTCCAAATCTGACGCCATGGACTCCCCGTGCCATTGGGGCCAAGAGTCCAAACATGACAGTGTGAACAACTGGTTACAGTCGCAGCATCGCCAGATGGAGTTGACACGGGGTCTGAAGCGTCCCAGCCTCCCCACCAAAGATGCAGACGAAGAAGAGGAACTAGTCACAGATTCCCTCTACAATATGAACTCAGTGCAGCAGTGGTAAGTGAAGTAGTCAGAGGTTGATACTCGGCACCAAGTCGGCAGCAAATGTCATTAAATTCCCAAATTGGAATTAAAAATTTCCAAATTCATTAACTAAATTTTTGACTATGACAAGAAACCATTGTTTCATTGATGACAGAAGCAGTAAATAGGAAGAGCTTTTAATGCTTTGTTTTATATTATGGCATTGAATATGATCTCAGAATACAATGTTAAAACACATCTGAATTTAAGAAATTAAGAACTTTTACAATATCCCAATTTTATGCAAAATATTTTCCCCCCAGTTTGCCTGCTAGGGACATAGTCCTGGATAAATCCCTGTGTTGTTCACAATCTCTCATCTACTTGACTCGGGTTCCTGTCAGTGTATTTTTCTGTGCCGTGGCACCATATGAGATTGCATGTGTATTAACTCAAAAAGGGTTCAAGATTATCTGGAACCATTACTAACATGCTGAAGAGTCAAGGTCTTAAAATCTAGCTTCGTAAGACAAATACAGTATGATAGACAAATTAAGTCAGTTTACACTGAAGGGGCAATGAGGTATCCCAGTGGTTTCGGTGTTTGCTCATGCCAAAGACCCAGGTTCAATTCCCTACAGAGTGCAATGTGTGAAACCCATCTTGGTTTCCCCCCGATGATATAACTTAAATATTGCCTTCACATAACCCTACTTACTCTGGATAAACTTGACTCTCAAGGATTCCTTTGTTTACAAAGCTTATGTTGACTTGAATTGCAGCTTTGCAATCATCTTTTTCTCAAACCCAACTTATACAATTTTAGGATCGACCTTCCGATGAAGAAAGTTCGAATTGATACCACCCCACCTGATGGTTCCAACATCCAACAACCCTCCCTCTCCGATTCCTCCTCCCCCTCCGGCCATTCCCAAAGACACACGCCCAAACCTCCTACCCCACCACCAGCCCCTGACCCCTATGAGTTCTCCGATGAGGCATCCGTTAACCCTGGAACACTTACACGATGCTCGCGGAAAAGTCGAGATGAACACTTTCCACGACCGTCACCGAAACGGGTAAGTTTGGCTTTCAGTTAGATTGAATATGATCAAATCAGAAAATATTGTATGAAAGCCAGTGTGTCATTTCTAAGACTTCTTATAGTCCTATGAACCTGTTTTTTGAAGAGCACAGTCTACGGTCATTGCATTCTTCTGTGACCCTTAAAATAGTGATGCATTAAACTTCTATCAGTGTCATAAGAATTAACGTATTGTTGATGAAGGTGTTAATGTTAAAACCGTTGTGCACACAAATCCTGCTCATTCTCTTTTTAGCCAATCAGGAAACAGTAATCCATCAGTGGGTGTGGCCTAATCTTTTTTTGTTAATGGAAACAAATGCCAAAAAAATTGCTTGGTTAGACAATCAAAGGCTTCAGAATCACTTACAATTTATTTTTTGGAGCCATCTCACAACTGAGAGTGTAATAATCTTTGGAAAATCAAGATTCATTACAACAACAAAAAATTGTCAGTTGAACAAATTGTTTTGTATTGTCAGTTGAACAAATTGTTTTTTATTGTCAGGATGAAGATGCCAAAGATCCTAACCGACTTAATGACTCCAAAGATGAGAATCCTGTGAATGGTGAGTTGATCCTTATGCTCATGATTGCTGTTGTAAGAAAAGATGCTATTTGAGTTTTGAGTTTAGTTTTTGTGTTTTGTGTTTTGTGTTTTGTGATGAGTGCTGCTGTAGTAGTGATATTATCTGTGTGTGTGTCAGCAGTATCAAATGGATCGGGTGGTCATGCACGGTGACTTGGTTAATTGTGAACAACAGACTCCAGTGACATGCTTGTTGCTCACAGTATTGATCACTGGTTTGCCCTGTACTGATTTGATTATTTCCAGGCTGCCATCATGTAGCTGGAATATTGCTGAGTGTGACGTTCAACAACATAGAAATGGTAGTGGTTTTACTCAGTAAAAGAGGACGTGTTATGTGTGTAAGATGTTTTTGTGATCTTACAGTGAAATTTGATACAAATTGGGATGGTTGAAATATTTGGCTTGTATTGTAGCTGTCTTCTCGGGCACGTTGTATTGATGATGTGTGAGGTGTAATGATGTTGATGCCTTCACCTGTAACCATACAAAACTGACTACTGAGATGCGAAAGCTTCGACTTACGAACAATATAAGAGAATTGATGCAGAAAAACAATGTTGTGTTGCACACACTAATATGTCAGTGCATCATCACATGTAGTATTGGGGAATCAGTATACAGTGTGCTTTCAACGGTACCAGCCAGCCTGGCTATAATAGTCTTCAGCAACACATGCTTTCCGTAAGAGGCGACTAACAGGATCGGTTGGTCAGGCTCGCTGATTTGGTTGATGCATGTCATCGTATCCCATTTGTGTAGATCGATGCTCATGTTGTCAATCACTTGATGGTCCAGGCTCGATTATTTACAGACCGCTGTCATATAGCTGGAATTGCTGAGTGCGGCATTAAGCAACAAACAAGCAAAACAAAGTTATATAATCTTTCACTGGCAGATTTTGTATTTTGTTTTTTTATTAATACTGTCAAATGCACGAAGAAATTTGGTAAAGAGAAAAAAAATTAATTGAAGTTTCAATAAAGTTAAAACTTCATTCTGATTCTATATGAAACAGATTTTTGTCACTTGTAGAACAAGTGACAAGGGATCATAGCAAACACAACAAATGTTACGATATATCCCTGAAAACAGAACTTGGGCATTTAAGATCTAGCTACTGATCATTTTCCTATTTTGAACATTCATATATGTTGTAGCTGTTAACACATGGTGTAAGCTGTTGCTGTACAGTAACACATGGCTGTTGTATGTTGAAATTGTGGCACATGGCTGTTGTATGTTGAAATTGTGGCACATGGCTGTTGTATGTTGAAATTGTAATGCATGGTTGTTTTGGGTTGTAGTATTAAAACATGGCTGTGTTTGGTTGAAACTTAAAACATGGCTGTTTTATTTAAAATTGTAACACATGGCAGTTTTGGGTTGTATTAACACATAACTGTTTTTGATTGTTGTATTAACACATGTATGTGTTGTAGCTATAATGTCTGTGTGTGTGAGTGTGTGCGTGTGCGTGTGCGTGTGCGTGCGTGCGTGCGTGCGTGCAGTAGAGGTAATAGTAGCTGTATGTGTGTCAAAACGGTAGTGGTATGTGTGTCAAAACTGTAGTGTAATATGTGTGTCAAAACTGTAGTGTTACGTGTGTCAAAACTAGTGTAATATGCGTGTCATCGCTGTAATGTGTAGCTGAAGTATTTGTGTGTAGTAGCTGTAAATATGTGTTTATGTCCATGTGGTGTGTTGCAGTAGCTGTAGTAGCTGCATTATGTGCATGTTATGTGTTGTAGTAGTAGCTGTAGCATGTAGTCGTGATCACTAACTGTTTCAGCCGTTTCTGCTACAGTGGGTTCCCCTCAGACGCCTGGAGCTAGTCTAACCCGAGAGATTGATCTCAAACCAACCGAGCTGGACTTGGAACATATATTTGAGTCATCGGGTGATGACAGTGACGATGCTGGGGTCAGTTTATTAACCTTCATGTCATGTATTATGTCACTATGGATTGTAAAATAAGATTCAATGCGTCTAGATCAGCGAGGTGGCTTTTGTGAGATGTGCTCTTCCTCATTTGATGGTTTGCCTCACAGCTAGATTTATGACCTGACACAGAGTAAAGGATGATCACTTGTCATAAAGCTTGCTTGATAGGGAGCACGATGTACAGTCAATGTCCGATTCTTGCTTCATCCATGTATCTCCATTAAATGTTGAGACTTTTAAGAATTTTTAGAATTTTCAATTTCCTGACATATTTTTTGTCTTAAGGATCTTTTGTGAAAGTTATTATTTTCCTTCCTAGGGACTTGATGCAGGGTTGTCTGCCAGTAAGACGACAGAGGAACTGACTGCTGGGAAAATAACGCCATCTGGTAAGTGTCCTACTGTTTCATGGTGAATTTTTATGAAGTAACTGATTACAGTTTGATCTGAAAAAAAAATATCAATTGTTAACATTCACTTGGTTTCTGGTTGGTCTCTTATGTGGTTTTTGAATTGAAAGAGGTCCTGGTGTCCTGATATTTGCTGATACTGTATTTGAATCAAGGAACCCCTTACATCTGACACAGTAACATCAGGACCCCTTGACTTTGATGCAGTATCTTGAACACGTAGACCCGTAAAGATCTTCAGCAACCCATGCTTTCCGTAAAAGGCGACTATGCTTGTTGTAAGAGGTGACTAACGGGATCAGGTGGTAAGTCTTGCTGACTTGCTTGATGCATGTCATCGATCTCAATTGCGTGGATTGATGCACATGATTTCAATCACTAGTATGTCTGCTCCAGTTTCGATATTTACTGACTGTCGTCATATAGCTTAAATATTGCTTTGTGTGGCGTTAAACAACAAACAAACGAACACTGGAGTGTATATGAATAGAGAAATAGGGTATTTTGTGGTAATAGTTTTGTTTGATGAGCTTTAACCTTTGTGAAATGTTTCTGTTGTGCGAAGATGGAAGTATTTGAATGTGTGACTGTTGACCATTTCTGTTTCAGTAGCACAAGATCTATCAAGGATGTATCCAACGCCACCCTCACTTGAAAATACCAAGCTGCCATCACCCGAGACAATGACCGATGTCACGCACGATGTAGTCGAAGTCAAAGTAGAGGCGTATCCCATGCCCACTGCTGAGGAGTTGTGTAAGGTGAGACAGCTGTTTGGTGCTCACACTATTGACCATTGGTTTGTTGTGTTTTCTTCCCTTTCTTTGAAATGTAAATAGAATAATAAGTATTGCTTGTTGGTGGAAATCTGGTTCTACTTGAGATTAATGTATATCCTGCTATCCTCTGTTATTAATGGATCCAATTTGGCTTAAACTAAAATACCACTGATAATTATTCAAAAAAGAAAAAAAACCCTGTCAAGTTTTATCCTGTCTGCGCTCACTTGTCACACACTATATAAAACCGGTGTGGAACACAGGTTAATACCAGGTGTAACAGTATCAAGTCTTGGAATTAAAAACAGTGTAAGTTTTCTACTACTGTTTTTATAGAATCACAATGGTTATTCATCTATCTTCTCTTATGTTTCAGCAAGGGGTATTCAAACCCCCTGAGTTTGGCAAGTTTGTTGGTTGTGGGAAGTATTCCCAGGTGGAGCTACCCAGCAAGCAGCTGTCTCCGATCCCTGTGCTTCCTGACTACAAACCCCCCTGGCAGTTCACCATGGCCATCATGGACAAGTCACTCTCTCAACCAACCCCAAGGTTAGTAGTAACACGCTCTCACTGTTTGCTAGAATTACAACACAACAGTGCTGACTGTTGTTGGCTTTGAGATTAGATAAGTTGTGCCAACAACTTTAATGGCCACAGCTTGTCCTTTGAATCATTTGCAACAGATTTTGATGTTTGTATATGTAGTGTCTTATGGTGAGCTTACCAGACCAAATTATGTTTTACTAGACCTGGGTTTCTAGGTTTGTCAGCACCATCAGAATGTCGTGGTAAGATCAGGCTTCCCTCCCACATAAAGCTGAGAAACTGATATAACTGGAATACTGTTCAAAGTTGCGTTAAGCTCCACTCACTCACTCACTCACTCACTCACTCACTCACTCACTCACTCACTCACTCACTCACTCACTCACTCACTCACTCACTCACTCACTCACTCACTCACTCACTCACTCACTCACTCACTCATTCAGACCTGGGATTCAGAATAGTGGCTATAATGTAACAGTCAAGAATGTTGACTGATTACAGCATCAGGGTTTGGGCAGTATTTATACACTGCTGGGTCCCCCCCCCGTACAAATTATTTTGGCGTGCGGTTATACATAAACATATTGTTCTAACCCACGGTGTGATACGTAATGCAGGGATTGTTTATGACTGATACTTTTTTGTTCTTTCAACTGATCTTATTGGAGCATCTGTAGGCTGATGCGAGTTGATGTGTCGTTGTACCCCGATGACATGCATTCTGTGCATCTTTTGTGCAATTGGGTCATCTTAAGTGGGCCTGATGAGACGTACAGAGAAGGGCATGACAGTCCGTTCCTCATTTAATCAATGTTGCTGAAGAAAGTTGCCTTTATATGTGCATATGTGTAACCACTACATTTTCCATTGCAGTCAATACATTAACATCCCGTCCATAGAGAACATCCCCAGTCTGACATCCCGACTGCCAACTGGCACTGTGGAGAGTTCCCCAGCCACGTTCCACAACAGCAATCAGCAGCGAACTCCACGCACACCACGTACCCCCATGAGCTATGAGCTCCAGTCACCAGCATCCAACGCCTCATCCATCCTGAACAAAACCCTCAACTCAATAGACAATCATGGCACCAATAACCAGCTACCAGAGGTGCACAGCCTCATTGTCAATGTGCTCCTCTCGGATTCCATTCTCAATCTGTTCAAGGACCACAACTTTGACAGTTGCAATATTTGTGTATGTAATATGGACATCAAAGGTTCCGATGCTGGGCTGTACGTCCCAGACACTGGCCCAAACTCTGATTCCTTGTCCTGCAGTTGTGGTTTTAGTGCTGCCATGAACCGAAAGTACGGTTACAATTCAGGGTTGTTTTATGAAGACGAAGTGGATATTACTGGAAGGCGCGAGGACAGATTTGAACGGCGGAAGCCGAGTTTGCTAGCGTTAGATGAGAACACATTAAAAGACAATGTTCCCGAAGATATACCTCAGATAATATTGGAGTTACTTCTTGGACAGTTCACTCTGCCCCATCCCTCCATGGTGGCAGAGCACAGGTTGTCCTTGTTGGATATGTGTGCAGCTACGTCTTTCATGGGAAGTGTCGTGGATACCTTGCAGATAAGCGGTAAGACACATACCCTTCATTACAGTGAGAATTGGTTGGCCAAATATCAGGTGTTTATATGACAATACTTATTAACCACAAGGGAATTCTCTGTACATATGAACATGCTTGTAGATTGTGTACATAAAATGACATGACAAAGAGAACTCAAACAGTTCAGGACATAACAATCATTTAAGATCTAAGAGCTTTTTTTGTTTAAACCTGGCAAGAAGTATAGCTGGTCAGAAGGTAGAAGTGATACCCTTTGTTTCAAAAGTAACTATGCATGTGTAATTGTAAGTGATTGATTTGCTAGAGTTTGTTTCTTCTGTAGATTTGGCCTGCAATGACAGCTCAATAATAGCAATGTAGATTTGGCCTGCAATGACAGCTCAATAATAGCAATGTAGATTTGGCCTGCAATGACAGCTCAATAATAGCAATGTAGATTTGGCCTGCAATTACAGCTCAATAATAGCAATGTAGATTTGGCCTGCAAACATGGCAATGACAGCTCAATAATAGCAATGTAGACTTGGCCTGCAATGACAGCTCAATAATAGCAATGTAGATTTGGCCTGCAATGACAGCTCAATAATAGCAATGACTTTTCAAATATATTTTCTTGGAAAATGGGGTGTGGGAGTTTGTTGGTTTGTATATGTAGTTTGAGATCTGACCAAAGGATTGTTGAAATCAGGATAATGAAAAATGTTGATGACGTATGGCAGTAAATGCACATTTGGCAAGGGGAAGAACTAAAATCAAAGTTTCAAAAGAGCATAACCGATTAAGTGGGAGTTAATGTTACACATCTTATGGTCTATTCAATACCATATCCTGCTACATCTTTCTGCCACAAATGAAACCGTTTTGTAAGACGGAATATTGTAGTTGCGAAGACAGAGTCTTACTTGCCGTATTTGTTGACAGATGGCAATGAGGTTTCCTACAATGCTTTGGATCAGGGGAGACAAGCCATGGAGAACTGCTCACCAAACAAGCTTGATGACCCTGCCATGAAAAAGAACTGTCTCCATAAATGGCCGTTCCTTAAAGGTAAGAGGATGAGAAAGGATGCCCAGGAAAATGACTGATATATTTCGACTTACGAGATATAATTACGTTTTTTTAATATTACAAACGATTTAAGAACAAAAATTTATCACAAAAGAATTTTCAAATTAACCAAATTGAAGTTTTTTTGACATGTTAGTACAAACAGTTTTAATGTGAATGCACGAGGTTGGGAATGCTGCTCGTGGTTTGTAATGCTACATCTGCCATGATTATGATACTAGGTTTGTTAGCACTGTAACATGCGTGTTGGTTTCACCAAAACATCTGACATGCCCTGATATAAACTACTTCTCACTCTTTCCCATTCGAGATTGAGCTGTGTTATACTATTGAGAAACATGAAGGATGATGTGAATGTTGTGTTTTCCCCAGGTGCTAATCGAATCCCGCTGAACTCCCAAGACATCCTGCGCATGTTGAAGACGCTGAACCCCCTCCTGATGGATGCCATCATGAACAAGCGCATCATGCGGGTGTGGGAACATAGTCACAAGCTTACAGGGCCGCTCAGTTGGAAGGACTTCCATCAACTGGCAGACAGAGGTAAGCCGCCTTCACGTTCTCCTCACTTTAAACAACTTCAGATGCTCAAGTTTTGTGCTCTACAGTAATCAAGCATTAAAAAATGTCCCATGGTAGATAACTGATGGGGACAATATGACTAGGGAGAATCATGCAACAGTTGACTAATGTTCAAATTTTTGTGCTTTTCAATTATATTCTACTTGTTTTGATAGGGATATTGAGATATTTCAAACCGTTAAAGACTTTAAAACAGCAGCTTAAGGAAATGTTATATTATTTGTAATGATGCTGAAATTGAGTCAGATCCGAGGCAGTATTGAAAAGTATTTGTATAACAACTTCTCCCAGCAAACAGTCACATTAAATTCCTGCCTGGTCACTCAGAATATCCCTTTCTAAGGTTAAGTATATTGAACGCTGTGATACAATAATCATGCACAGGGTCATATTAGGAAGACACACACAACTTTGTGATTTGTACCCATTGGTCTTTATCAAAGGGCTCTGTAAAATAGTGGGAGATGGCAATGCAATCAAGACATTGGGATCGCTGCAATATACAGTGGGAAAGGATTAACCTGTCTAAAGATGTAGGGCAGTAAGAGTTTGTGCTGAACTGAAAACCTGGTGTGTGGGTGGGATGCTTCATCTGTATTCTAGTCATCGTGGGCAGGCTCTGTTTGTTTTGTGCTGTTTGTAGTGATGTTTGTACCCGGTGCAAGCGTGTAGTTGATCCAATGTTTGTCTGCACAGGGTCGGACGAGAACAGTGAGCCCCAGCCCATCCCACACTTCCTGGTGGGCTACGACCGAGACTGGCTGTCCGTCTCCCCCTTCAGTATACGCTTCTGGGTAAGTGGATTGGCAAAAGCTGACATTAATAACACTCACTGATGTAGTGTTTTCTCAGCAATATTCCAGTTATATGACTGTAGTCTGTAAAAAATAAAGTCTGGACATGACAATCCAGTGATTGACATCATGAGCATCGATCCATGCAGTTGGGATCGATGACATGCTTCAACCGAGTCAGCGAGCCTGACTACCCGATCCCATTAGTCGCCTCTTACGACAGGCATAAGCGCCTTTTACGGCAAGCATAGGTTGCTGAAGACCAATTCTAACCTGGATCTTGACTCCTTCAGGTTTAGAGCCAAATATATCTGTAGCCATAGAAAATGTCTGCTTTGTAGATGGAATATATTGCTACTATTACTGGAAGTAATCTGCCTGATATACTTTCTAGAATTGAAGTATGAAATACATAGTCTTATTCCTAATTTATTTTTGACATGTTGATTGTGTCCTGTTTGAGAAATATGGTTGTATTTGGCTTGCGTTACATTATGTTATCAATCAAAGGTTATATTATATTTGGGTACTGTGATTTAGCAAATATATTGCTGAATGTGAAATTGGAAACATATACTAACTGTGTGATAAATATTTTGCTTTTGTTTTTTAAAATGTTTGTACAAATATGGTGCTGTCTGCAACAAGTCTTGTAGTCTATATGTGTCCATGTATGTTAAACATGATCAGTTGAAACAGGTCAGACAAGTTATTGAACACTATCTCCTTAATTGTCTCTGTTAATTTTTTCTCCATCTGTCTTTTAACTTAATAAAATTCTTTTCCAGGATAAAGAATTCATGGAACCATTTGGTCGTCAGCGTGACATCGCGTATGTGGTTGTGGCACCTGACAATGACTTTATCCTACAGAATGTGATCAGTTTCTTCAAGGAGCTGAGTACAGTGTATGAACTATGTCGGCTGGGCAGACATTGCCCTATATCTAAAGTGCTAAGAGATGGTATTATGCGGGTCGGGAAGAGTGCTGCTCAGAAAGTGCAAGATGAACAAGTTGATGAATGGTTCAAGTCTATAGGTGGGTGTTGTCTGGAATATTGTTTGCATATTTTAAGAACTTAAAAGTTAAATAGTTTAATAGGTATTTGACTTGCTGTCTTAAGATTCCTGTGCTTTGTATAGTACAGTTGGATGTACTGTATTCGATGTAATAAGTGCCCACAGCGATATTTGCTAATATATTGGCTAGTGAACAATCCCAATAAACACCCTTTCCGATTGATCAATGTACACAAGACTTACTTATTCGCGTATAATATGCATTCGTGTGTTATATGCACCCTTAATTATGGGCAATTAAATTCTGGCAAAATATATCTGTCGTACATAAACATTTCAGGCTGTCAGCATAAACCACGAAATTTATCTTCAATTTATCTTGTTTTTTCCACCAATAATATTCTAATAAGAGCCCCCTATTTCCTTTTTTGAGATGTATTGTATCATGATACGTAACTATGATATGATACGATACAACACCAGCTTAAGCAATTTCTCTAGTATTTCCAGGTTGGCTATAAATAGCATAACATTCACAGTGACCTCTAGCCTATATGTTTCTGCCCTACAATACCCCATCTTTGATCTCTGAAATTTAGAAACAAATGATTCTGGGTTGTTATTCACCCGCAATAAGAAAGAATGTCTACTTATGAAATGAAAGTACTGTATCGGGATACGAATCATATTGCATCCGTAGTATTAGGGCACAAATCATATTGCATCCATAGTATTGGGGTACGGATCATATTGCATCCATAGTATTGGGGTACGGATCATTGTGATCACACCGTATCGTTACACCTCTAATGAGTAGTATATATCTCAAGATAAGAACAACACTACCATTATTTTGGTACACGGTAATACACAAGACCACATGGGTTTAGTGTCTGTGTAAACATCGAGGCAATATTACTACTGGAATGTATCTTCATCGGGATGATTGTGAAATGTGTGACACTAACAGTACACCAGTGTTAAAATTTGAATACCCCAAAACATGGACGAGAAACTGATTAATGAAAGTAGGTGTCTTTTGATGGAGAAAACTTCACTTTAAGTTGGCAGGAACATCTACACACATTCATGTCTGGAGGGACGCCATCCAAGATGATTTTTTGCAGAATTAGTACAATAGTTTGAACTTAATTCCACCGATTTGATAAATGAAATGTATTACGAATTTGATTGGAAGATATTGCTAGTAGTATTGACATATTATTGACCTCGCTAGTGGTTAGTGTTGATTACTTGTTTCTTTATAAAGTTGCTAACTTTAGATTCTGATTATCCCAGATGTTCCTAATTAACTCCCCTTTGAGGATTCTGGGTAGGAAGGGATCCCTATGTAGCTACGCTGGTTGTAAGAGGTGATGAAGTGTTGTATCCTGACTGCATGCCTCGTTGCTCTCAATATCAACCACAGGCATGATTATTTACAGGCAGGGATCATATAGATGGAATATTGGTGTGTGGCGTTAAACAACAACACAGAAAATATTATCCTTATTATGTCATTTGATGTTGCCTGTATTGACAGTGGCTACTATTCTTTTCTGCAGGGGAATCACCACTGGCTGCCAAGTTGAAGCTGTATGCTCAGGTGTGTCGACATCGGCTGGGGCCGTTCCTGGCAAGACAGAGCCTGGACAAGTCATTGTTTGACACACCATCTAGCTCATCACACAAGACACCATTCAAGGCTCCGGAGCCTGCTAAGCCACCTACACCGGACAGTCAGAACTCATCAGGGATTACACCAGGCCAGGAAGATAATAAAGGTAGGTGCTAGAAACAAAAGCAGTTTGACTACATTAAAAAGTCATTGTTGTCATTTAAGTCATCATTGGTTCTTGTAAACAATCAGGGCCCTGTTACACCAAGTGATTGTAGTGCTATGTCTGTTAGTGAGTCTGTTACAGTATGGAGTTGAAATGATCTCAGCACTCTGTGAAATGGACCCCAGAACCTTATTATGATTAGGTCTTGAGAAGATTCTGGGTTTAAATATTTCCTAAGTAACCATATTTGGTTAAATATGTGACCTGAGCCCCATTCAACAAAGTCATTTTAGCGCTTTGACTGTTTAAGTCAGTGTTACAGTGTTATGATTTGCTGTTGCTGAGATCCATTCTGCTCCTTATCTTCATGGGTTCTATAACAGAGTTTTATGACTTAGGAAAGCAAGCCTTTGTAAGGGATACTTTTAGCTAATGTGGCAAATAAGATGACTGAAATAAGTTGTAATAGTCAAACCATTTTCATTTTGAAAACTGAGTAACAATTGTTCGTATTTCCAGAGACTGGATTTAGTGAAGGAAGTTCCCAGAAAGACGGAGGTCAACATGACCTGGACACAGATGACAACAACCATTGTCCTGCTGTAGTGGTGTATCTCATTGACCCATTCACATACGGCAATGCATGGGATGATGACAGCCGACTGGCAATGGTAGGGCTACTTCGCTGCTATCATCAGATGGTCCAGTCCCTCCCAGAGAACCTCCAGAACAACATGTGCTTACAGGTAAGTTGGAGCTCATGAGGACTCCACCATAGTCCTGAAGATTTAGTCACGAGGAACACAGATAACTGTCCTGTGGTTTGCTGTACAGAGTTGCGTCCCGCACCCATGCCAGGATCTGCTGACCATGGGTTTGAGTCACAGATATGCTCTAATTATGATCCTTGGTCTGTCTGCACCATAGCTGAGCTTGTGTGTTTTACCAAACTAACATCAAACAAAAAATCAGCGAGGATATCCCAAAATTAATTATCTTTCCTTTTAGTCTTCATCTTGGTCACATTTACTTTCTTACCCGGGAGGATCCAGGGTAGAAAAGGTCTTCAGCAGCCCATCCTTGCCGTATAAAGTGACTATGCTTGTCGTAAGAGGAGACTAATGGGATCGGGTGGTCAGTCTCCCCGACTTGGTTGATGCATGTCATAGATCCCAATTGCGTGGATCAACGCTCATGATATCAATCACTGGTTTGTCTGGTCCAGACTGGATTATTTACAGACCGCCGTCATATAGCTGGAATATTGCTGAATGCGGCGTTAAACAACAAACCAAACCAAACCACATTTACTTTCTTGGTTGTATTTATGATCCAGAAAAAGTACAGTTGTAGACAGTGTTTTGTCTCCTGTGCTGAATCCCATATATGTAGCTTGTCTGAATGCTCTGTTTACTGACTCGTGAAGATCCGGGGTAGAATAGGTCTTCAGCAGCCCATCCTTGCCGCATAAAGCGACTATGCTTGTCATAAGAGACAACTAACGGGATAGGGTGGTCAGTCTTGCTGACTTAGTTGATGCATGTCAACGTATCCCAATTGCGTGGATTGTTGCTCATGATGTCAATCAATAGATTGTCTGGTCCAGACTCAATTATTGACAGACTGCCATCATATAGCAGGAATATAGCTGTGTGCGGCATTAAGCAAAAACAAAACAAAGAAAAAAGCTCTGTTTACAATGACATTTGTTGGAATTCTATGTTCACAGGTTGTGCCTCTGAAGACTATCTTGGGTTACAAGGAAAGCAACACCCAGTTTCAGACCCTCAAGTCTGTGGCCTTCTCAGTGTTCACCAACTGCAGATGGAACCTGACACACACAATCATGGGTCGGCCTCTCACAGGCTTCGGATCTGCGGCAGCTGCGGAACAGTTTCTCAAGAAGAAAGAGGTCAGTTTATCCCGTACCTTGTCAGTGGCACATGTTATTCACCTTGTATGTTGCAAGCACTTGTCCTTGTATTTGTTATTCCGTCTTGGTATGATGCCCCGTGAGGATCCTGAATAGAATAGTTACCCAGCAACCTATGCTGGTTGTAAGAGGCGACCAAATGGATTGGGTGTTCAGGCATTGATTGCATGTTTTCATACCCGTACCGGAGTGGATCGTTGTTCACAACATCGATTACTGGATTGTCTGGTTCAGACTGAATTATTAAGTCTGCCATCATATAGCTGGAATATTGCTGAGTGCGGCGTTAAATAGCATGTAGATTAAATGGTCGGATGAGAGGTAACATGGTACAATCAGACCAGTCAACTCTTTCAAAATGGCAGCCTCAGTAATGTGTGGGGAATTTTTTTTATCATTCTCCTATATCATTATCAGATAAGAAAAATGTCTTTAGCACTCTGTGGCAAAATCTTTTGAGTCTACTAGCCCTTCCTTGCCTCTTAGCATCATTTTAAGTACATTTTAGTGTTATATGGTATTTTATAAGATGATCTTACTAGTCCTTACAAAATTTTATTTGAGTCTGGCTTCAGACTAGTGGCTGAAGTTGCAGTCTGCTTTTGAACATTTTAGATCAGTCAGTGTCGTAGAAAATTAACCGATCTGAAACCCTGGGTACTAGCACATTCTATTGTATTGGTATGTCATATAACCAACCCTTCCTCCCTCTCCCACAGGACAATGGTTTCACGCGCCTTTACAGTCCCCCGTTCGTGCTGGCACCAGTGCGGGACAAGCAGAGCCAGCTGGCGGAGTGTTGTGGGGAGAAGACAGAGAAGTCCAATGTGTTGTTCTGTGCCTACTGTCTGTCTGAAGACCAGCGCTGGCTGCTGGCGACGTGCACGGACGAGAGGGGAGAACTCATGGAGACCTGTGTCATTAATATTGAAATACCAAACAGGTAGGAACACGTATTAGATCATAGTTGAATTGGCAAATGGGGATTCTGTGTTAGAATACTGAATTTGTTGTATTAACCGCCCTTCACCAATAAGTGCTACAAACAATCTGTATGTAATCTTGTTAACCACAAACAGACATATATTTTTTTCATGAGGTGTGCAAGTGGTTTTTGTGTTTTTCATTATTTGAATATTTCTTTTAATGTCATTAGCAGGGATACCACAGGACCGGTAGATTTGTATAGCTGCTTGGACTACTCACAGATTCTAGTCAATGTTCTCTGTTGTGTGATTTCTTTATAAACCATTTGCAAATTGATATTTCAGGAGCCGGAGGAAAAAGGCATCAGCTCGGAAAGTTGGCTTGCAGAAGTTGTTTGACTACATTCTTGGCATTGTTTCCATGACAACACTACCTGCCAGGCTTGTGATAGGCAGGTTTGGGCGTCTTGGTCACGGAGAACTAAAAGGTAGGTTCTTCAGCCTTTTGGTCTAAGGGAAGTAACTCTTCTGGCATAAAATTACCATGATGGCGGAAAGTAGCAAACCTTGTGTTTATGCATCAGAAAACTTAAAAGTCAAATGCTTGTGTTTGTCTTTAGATGTAGTTCTACTTAGACTGTTCCCATTGAGGGCAGTTTCTAAGGTTCATGGTTTGTTTTGACTAGAACTTTTTACTTCAGCCAATTTGACATGTCAGTGTGTGATGATTTTCTATGTTGGTCCCAGTATGATGAGCATGTAAGCAACACTGTATTCCTGCTGTAGGCTGGGCTGGCATCATTAGCAAGAAGAACCTGGCCTATGTGAGCAAGCACATGCGGGACATCTGCAACCAGTGTTCCTACCTGTCCAGTGAGAACCCCAGTATCCTCAGTGCATGTCTGGTGTCCTTGGAGGCGCAGCCCAGCTTCCAGGTGATGTCCGACGCCCTCAAGATGGAGGAGAAGCCGAGCAGCAACTGCCCCCTCCAAACCCCCCGGGATGCATCAACATCCCACATCCTCGTCTTTCCTACCTCGGCTACAGCACAGGTCAGAATCCATGTCAGGATGTTCGGCTTAACCAAGCGTACTAGTTCACTGTTCTATAGACCAGTGCTTCACCAATATGATTATGGAAAGCTGTTATATGTACATCTCTATTCCATGAAATATATATTAATCACTGGTAGAATACATCTCATAATGTCTGCAGCGGATGGTAGAATAATCCTTTGTATTGCTGCTTGCCATGTCATTGCAAAAGCATGGGAGAAGACCTTGTGATCCAGATTTGCCCTTGTTAGGAGCCCTAGGCTCTCTATATTATCTGTACTTTTGGGTTTCACCAAAGTGGCGGTCATCTACTGAGACACTTTCCTCCCACATTAACTGACACAATGATATAACGGAAATAATGTCAATTCGCCAACAACTGAAATAGCATAAAAAGCATAAAAACAGTTTGAAAATGATTTGTAGGATGCCCAGTGTGTTGTTATGCTTTTGTTGACCTGTTGTGACTTGTTGACAGGTAAACAGTGCTGCGATGCCCATTGAAACTAGTCACTTAGAGCTGGATGATATCATGTCATATGATGAATTTGGCACTATGGACAACGATTTCAACTTCAACGAGCTGTTTGGGACAGACCCAGGAGTTACCTCCCCTAACGGTTCCCCTCCACCAGGTGATAAAGGCAGGCTTCCAGATCAGCGCTCTAACGGACAAAATGCTGTAAGTTGATTGTCATTTAGTTTGTCATTGCTTATTGTACTGACAGTACAGTAAGAGAAATGACTGATTATAAAAATTTGAAAAGGATCTCTTCGTTCTTAGAAACATTACTGTTTGTTGCAGGTTACAACTGTTTGGGTTTTCAGGGCAAAGGGGGTCCCCGTGTTTTGCTAACTCCTTGACTTTCAATTTTTGAAGAGCTTGTTTTGTGTTTGATGCTTATTTCAAGGTTAGGCCCAGACACTTAATGATACCATGTGTCTTACCTTTGGGTAACCATTTATTACAAGATGAGTAAGCAGATAAGTGTAGTTTTCTTTGAATGACCTGATTCAAACCTGATAAGACTGCTGTCATATCCCTCCTGGTCTCATCTTTATGAGACCGGTGTACACTGACCCAGTGGGGTATCCATGTTAAACTGTGGCATGGTATCGATATATATATGGGCAATCATCTTGAATGTGACATTAAACCCTAGTTTCACCTCACCCTTTGGGGCAAGTCGTCTAAGTCTCTGCAATTCGTCCAGAGTTACGTCCCTTCGGCATGCTAGAAACCTCTAATTGTGGGTTTGAATCCAGATTCATTACGATTATGTTTCTAGGTTTGTCAGCACCTTACCTGTGCTCTGGGTTTCACCAACGCGGTAACTGTTTGAGACATGCGCCTGAATCTAGGTTCAAGCTAACATGCCATGATATAAATGAAACGCTGTTAAAACCGGCGTTAAAACCAACCCACTCACTCACTCAAAAAAACACTCACCCACTCACCCACCCTTCCTTATGAAGGTAGTTCTAAGATTTGTTTGCTTTATTTTCCAGCTAAACAGTGGTACCTCCAATATAGATATACAGGACGAACCCCCCAACCTGCTCCAGCAGCCACTGGCCATGGGCTACATGCTGTCCACTGCTGGGGCAGGACCTCTGCCCAAGTGGTTTTGGTCTGCCTCCCCAGAAAATGAATATGTCTCCCCAACAGTCTTCAAGGTGAGCTTATCACGCCAGACTTGGGAGATTCACCTTTTGGGGAAACATCACTGAAAACAGACACACATTTGTTCTTATCTCACCAGAATGCCTCTTCAGTACCCAATGTTAGTTGTTGATTGGTATTTGTGGACGATGATCATGATGGTAATAGTTACGCAGAGATGCCAACCAATACATTTTTGGTGCAGTAATTACGCTTACCGTATGCTTTTATGCTTGTCCTTCCCAAATTACATTTTTGGACATGCTTTTCACGAATTATTTACATGCATTATATTTCACGGAGATCAAATTGTTAATGCTCCAGTCAAGTGACGCATTCTACAGTGAGCTAATTACATGTACACCGCCTTCTCTTTCTGCAATACAGTTAATGAGAATGTAATTTTTAATTATCAAAATTACACAAAAGCCGAGTTTGTTGAAGTATGGCATAAATGGATGTCACTGATGAGTTCCTTGTCAATGTTCATGTTCAATCTTGTCAATGATTATTCTTTCTTCGTTATTCAAATTTGAGGTTTAATTTTTCAAATAGTGAAGTTGCATATGTCCCCATGTTTCATTACGTCAAGGCTTCACGAAAATGTTGAAACTAAACTTGCACCATGGTGCTATTTATTTGGTTCTTTTTCACATGAAATTGATATGAGGGTTAGCATCTCTGAATTATATGTAATTTATAAGGTTCCACATCAATAAGCAGTATGCATAAAGTGCATGACATCGTCAGAATGGACCCCAACTCCTCATGCTTGTTGTTAGATGTGATTGAAATGGTGATCTGAGACTTTGCCGATTCATCTGTGAAGATCTGGGTTAGAATTAGTCTTCAGCAACCCATGCTTGTTGTGATCGGGTGGTCAGGCTCACTGATTGCGTAGATTGGTGCTCATGATGTTAATCACTGGATTGTCTAGTCCACACTCAATTATTTACAGAATGCCATCATACAGCTGGAATACTGCTGAGTGTGGCATTAAACAACAAACAAACTTCACAGACTGCATGTGTCACACCCAGATGATGTTGATCCATTCTTTGGTCACTGGTCAGCCAGACTTGATTGTTGATGGGTTTCTGTGATGTGGCTGGAATAATGACACTTGGGGTCAGACAAAAGTCACTCATGTGGGTACTTTGTGTTTCATGGAACATTCTATAGCATCTGCTTGTTTTTGTCCTCAGGCCGCTCTCCACATCAATTCATCCTCCAAACAAGATGACTTCATGCCTCACCCTCAGGATCGCAACTCTCATGCCCTTGACTCCCACCTCACATGTGATGTGCTAAGGTTTGTATATGTCTTCAGCAACCCATGCTTGCCGTAAAAGGCCACTATGCTTGTCGTAAGAGGCGACTAACGGGATCAGGTGGTCAGACTCGCTGACTTGGTTGGTGCATGTCACTGTATCCCAATTGCTACAGCCAGTTAGCCAACAAACATCCAAAGTTTGCTGGTACAGCATATTGCTGGATGAAACTGAACCTGATGATACGGTTGTTGTTTCATGCACATTGGGGATAATGTTGAACCAACTGTAGAAACAGTTTGTTAACATCTCTGTTGTGATGCATCACTTCGGGCTTTCTGCCCACATGAAGCTGACACATGTGATATAACTGGAATAATGTTTAAAAGAGGCGTACCAAATTATTATTGGTTAGCTTGCATTATACCAAATATTACCCATGCAAGAGGTTTTACTATGGGGAACTGTCCAAAACCTGCGTCACCTTTTCTTCCACATTAAACTGACATACTGTTAAAAGCAGCTTGATCAGTTGGGGATTAGCTGGTAGCAAGGGTTAACCTGTCTGACTGTATGTCATACCCTGGAAGTCAAGGTGAATGATAATGAACTTCTCAAGAGCAGAGGGCAGTCGGGCAGCCCAGTGGTTAAAGCGTTCGCTCCTCATGCCGAAGACCCGGGTTCGATTCCCGACATGGGTCCAATGTATGAAGCCCATTTCTGGTGTCCCCAGCCATGATATTGCTGGAATATTGCTAAAAGCAGCATAAAATCAAACTCACTCTCTCATGCTGTCAACCACTGTTCCAGGCTGGTTTGCAGACTACAGTGATGTGATTGTAAAATGTAAAACAACATTAACTCCCACTGTTCTCATGCTGTGCTTTGTATCTGTTACAGGTTTGTACTGGAGCACTACAATGCCCTGTCCTGGTTGACGTACGACCCAGCCACTAATGATCGCCGCTCGTGTCTGCCCATTCATCTAGTCGTGCTAATGCAGATGTATCATGCCCTCAATGCCTTTGTGTGACCACTGCCAAGTCAAAATGGCATCCCGAAAAGTCTTGCCAGAACCGTGGGGAGCGTCGTGTCCATAATTCCCCTGATCCAGCTGTGAATTGCTGTGATGCTCCTATAGTGGAAATTCTCATGTCAGATCTAGCAAAAAAGGTGTTTTTGGTTGTCTGTATATTTGAATATTTTGCCAAAATACCCAAAAGGTAATCCCAATACTTACGATACCTCCCATGTGACAAAAATGGCCGCAATTAATGGCAGCAACGGAAATCTATCTCTGAGAGGCAGCTATTGTGAACCAGTGTGGATATTCCTGAATTTTGAGGGCAGTGATATGACCAGTGGCAGACACGACCTGGATTGGTCAAGGTCATGAGGTCAAGGTCAGTCAAGACAATATCAGCTTTCAATGTGACTGTGTGACTGATAGATGAAGCTTTACCTGGACAGGCTTCAACAGAAATGTGATTCCTGAATTGTGATACTGAAGGTCATTTTTGGACTGAAGGACTGAGAGAATACATGCTCGTGAATATTACAAACCGGTTTCTTATTTTTATAGATACACTTCATTCCCAGTATCTTCATAAATATATTTTGATGACCTACTTACAGACATATGGAAAATAGTAAGTTTGTGAAACTTATGATATGCGCTCTCAAACATGAAGAGGTTATTTCAAATTTTCAGTATATCCTGATAGACTTTTCCTGATATCTTCCCATTTGTCGATATCTTTACATACATGTATGTACATGTTAGTGAATATTTTAGTTTGAGTATTTTATGAACACATCAGATGGGTTACTTCTTGGCCATAATTTCGGCAGGTATGGCCTTGGCTATCTGGAATGACCTTATTTTAGACAAATAAAGCAATTGATTATCAATACCTGTGATTGTTTAAATCAAAATATACAAATCAACCCATGGAATATTAAAATACAAAGTGTTCCTGTAATGTGATAACCGATAACATTTATCAAAACCACATTGTTATAAATGGATTCAGGAAATCTTTACAACTCTGCTTACAATAAAAGGCAGGTCCTATCTTCGCTTTTGATGCAAGAATAATGAATTTTAGTAACAATTCTTAATAAGGTAAAATAAAAAAGCATTCTGAAATATTTTTGCATACAGTACTTTTTGAAATTCATCGCATGAACAAGTTTTAGAGGACTTTTACAAAAGAATTTGAATATGCACATTTATTATTTCATGTGACCCCAAATCATGGAATTTATTGACTATGAGAAAAGGCCAAATGTGGATGTTAATGGTTGTAGTTATAGCAGCAAGAGTCCAGTTATCTTTTATAGAATTGATTTCAGTGCTAGTTGTTAGAATTAGCAAAGGCAATGTTTACATGAATTAATTGTGCATCACAGACTTGCATATTTCCTATAGTGCTAATGTTTTGTTTTTTTGGTTGAGAAAAGATTCATCCCCCCCACGTCTTACCCCCAAAAGTATTTTTGAAACTAGACCATAGTTAATGTATTTTTAAGTAAAAGATGTTTTGAAAAATCTGTTATCTGCTATAGCAAACGAAGAATATGAATGTGATTCACTTTTCAGTAAGTCAAGTGTCCTTCAACTAAGTTTCCCATTGAGAGATGCTAAACCATTGAAGCTACCCTAGTGTCCAGTACCCTCATGTAAAGGGATATGTTTGGGCAGGAAGATGAAAAATGAAATGAATGGACTTAACCTTAATGATTCTTTGTCTTATAGTTTTTGCCAAATACTTTGGTTGTTGATGAGCCTTTAGGTCATGGTACCATAAAAACGTAAGTCTTTCTCAAACCTGACTTATAAACCAAACTCAAGCAATAATAAATCGCAGCAAATTATTTTAACCAAAATGGTTTGAAATATGTGAATACTTAATTTTGTTAATCATTTTGAGAAATGAAAAGTGGTTTCCTTTTTACCTGATCAGAATTCTTTCACTTGATAACACTTTCTACAGTTGGAGCAAGTGATGCCAACATATCTTGTTTTTTCATGTAAATATGTTAAATATGAATAGCAAATCTTTAGAGTAAATCATTGATATGTTTTGTGGTCAATACTTACGTCTTGAATCTGTCGGCAATCCTGGTTAATTTGTATTGCCAACAGGCATTTATTATTTCTATGTGAAACATGCATGACAATGAGAGATGAAAACTGCATTAAGAAGTTTCGAAAGAGTTGAATACTTTTCTGGGTGCAGTCATGTTTTATCAATGGAAAACTAGTCCAACCTTGATAGAAGCTATAGACATATTCTCTGCGTTATAAAACACCCCTGCGAAGCATTTTGTTTCGGCTGAAGGCCAAGAAAGATAATTCAGACCCAAGGCAGAGGTGAAGGTCACCTCCTCCCACACTAAGTTTTCAAGTTTCAGTACACGAGAACCAATGACAGTTTTTATTATTAATAACATTTTAAAACTGCAAAATATTTCAGTTCGTATATTTTTCCTATATTGATACTATAGGGTGTAAGTATGAAAGGGTTACAGATAAATGATGTCTTATAAAGATGAAAGAAATGACAAATGGTGGTATAGAGTAGGTCAACTTTGCCTCTGTTGTGAACCGGAGAATATTTTAAGGTTGCTTCATCAACTGTTGATGCCAGAACATTTATCACTGGAGCGTTGGCTAGAGGAGACAACCTTATCCCTATTAACCTTGCTAGCCAGGGGTGTCCGTCTCATTGGAAGGGTAATTCTACAAGGGTCAGCATTCTTATGTTACAGTCCATGGAAATGGCTGAAGTGTGCAATGACTTGTTTGCATGGGTGTATTTAAGCTTGATAGGGTCTTGTATTGACAAAGGATTCCACACAACAGTCATGCATTGCAATGCAAATATCTTATCAAAATCATTTCTTCCTAGTCGAAGATGTTAATTTCATCCCAACCTCAAACTAACTCAGGAAGGGGACAACGAAATGTTAATATTAACCTGGCGTCCATTTTCCGAGTTGGTTTGGGGTAGCCACCATTGTCTTTTACTCATGTCGGTTATTGGTTTTGTATATAGTTCATAGCATTGAGGAAAGCAATGATAGAGGATTATTTTGTCACAGTAGAATATCTTGTTATGTCATTTGTGTGTCATAGTGTACATTGTTCATGGATCATTGTTACCCTCTGATGCTGCAGCAGCAGCCGAGGAATAGATGAACAGCACAAACCGATCTGATTTCTGTAAATATTTTTGTTATTTGCAAATAAAGATGTAAAATTAAATCAAACTACATCAACATAACCCCAGTTCTCATTGTTAAGTTTATGGTTGGAAATCTCTGCTGAGTTGACGGACAACTGTTATGTTATTTAACTACTCGGAGGGTAATAGGATGCTCAATATTATTCCCCTATGGCTAATGATGTACATGTTGGCACCTATTTCACTATGCTGGATGTACATATCGTGTGTCAGTACTGTTTGTTAAATTGTGCTTGGGGGCGAGTGATGTACATTACTTGAACAAGTGCTAGTTATTTCACCTAGCACCAGTATTATAGCTCCAGCAGAGATTCCTCCATTGTTTATGTCCTCCAGAACGAGATTTTCTACTTTTGGCTGGATGTGACTGTTCACAGTTGTCGTGTAAATAGTGGCCCACTATGACAAGCTGTGATGTACATCTCTATCATGTCAGTTTTCACAACTTTTCTCAGATTGTATGTATTTAAAATAAAATTTGATCATAACTTATTTTTCGTAGCTAGTACATATCGTACAAATACTAGCTCATGAAAATAAATTGAAGACAAACAAAAGTTTGGAGTATGTTGTTTTTTCTTGAATGATACAATTATTATTATTATTATTATTAAAATAAAAAATGGGTGATCCTGGCACAGTCAGGCTGGTTAGGTTCATCATCAGCTTAGGGCCCTTGCCCCCCTCTACACGCAGCCCAGCCCCTCTTTCGAAAGCGAGGTCCGCATATTTGCCATGTTTTCCCTCAATCACATTAGTGTCAAAGGGGACAGAAAATTCAATGATATAAATGATTTCATTGGATTTATCAAAAAGGACAAGATCAGGTTTGTTGGCCTGGATACGTCTAAGGCTGTAAATGGGCCTATTCCAAATAAGTTTGTGTTTATCATTTTCCATGACGCCCTGTACATATTCTGGGTCATACCATGGGTGGACCTCTGTGTCAAAACGACAAGCATGGCGAAGACGGTAATGAAATGATCAAGCTACACCATCATGTACTGTGTTTGTGCCAAAGCTGGGCGGGCACCCACTGACAAGGTATTGGACAGTCTCATTAAATTCATTACATAATCTACATTTTATGTTTACATTTTGATGCAAAATCACACATTGACTGTTTCGAGTGGGAAGTGACTGGTCCAGAGCAGCAAACAGAAAGCCTTCTGTTTCACTTTTCAGGTCAGATGACTTCATCCAAGCAAAGGACTCGGCAGGATTGCTGATCTTCTCAACACACTGCACATAAACTCGATGCAGTGGTCGTTCAGATAGCCTCTCCTTGAAAAATTGAGTCTGGGTCGACTTGATATGGCACTTCGCTTGGTTGACACTCATTTCTGTACCGTCCAGCAGTATTGAACCATCAACACCGACATTGAGATTATGTCCCACATCCTTGGCTCGTTTTAGAAAACTGTGGAATGCCTTGTTTTCATCATGAATCTTGACATGCTTCACAAGAGGATCATCAGACAAATAAATGTGTGCAAAAGTGCACAAAACAATTCTATCATGAAGAGCCCCAACGTTAATTAAACCATGTCCTCCCATAATGATTGGTAAATATAAGCGACTGAGGGAAGAGCGAGGGCGGTGGAATTGTCTGACTTGATTCTTCGTTTGATGGTGTTAATACCGTAAATTTCTTGTTTCGTCCAATCAACAACAAAAAAAATATGAAAGTATGGGTACAGCATAAGTATTTGTTGCTTTTACTTTATTGCAAGCGTTCAGCTCTGAACTCCAGATTTTCTTAACTCTACATTTGTACTCTGACCGAAGTTTTTCCTTGATATGGGCATTCTGGAGGTTGTCCGTAATCCGCATTCCGAAGTACGTATATGCCTGACCTTCCACGAGATGGTCAATAACTCTTCCAAGTAAACTGACTGATCCTCCCTCTTCTACCTTGCCACGTTTCAAATGAAGAATGTTGCATTTGTCGAGTCCAAAGGACATGCCGATATCATTAGACAAGGAGAATCTGTTTTTTTGAGTGTGGATCCTCCATTGGCAATAAGTTCAAGGTCATCCATGTAAAGGAGGTGAGTAAAGGGGTGTTGGGGGTCTGTGCTGAGGAGGTCCAGGATAATAACCTTCCTCTTTGCTAAGCACAAAGCTTAAAAGATTTAAGAACAAACAGAAAAGCAAAGGACTGAAAGAATCGCCCTGAAATATTCCTCTTCTAATAGAAATGGGTTCCGAAGTCATTACCTGCCCCTGCGAATACATCTCAAGTTGAGTTGACCCGCAACTTATTAAAGACTTTTTTAAAACAAGTAGTCGCTCGGGGAGGTCATTACATTCCAATGACTTCAAAATCCATGCGAGAGGTACAGAGTCATAAGCTTTTCTGTAGTCTATCCAACACATTGAGAGGTTACGGTGGTAAGTTTTAGCCTCTTCAAGGATCATTTTCTAAACCAGTAATTGATCCTTACAACCCCAACATCCCTTTCTGGCTCTTTTCTGCTCCATGCAGATAATGTCATTCGAAGCCAGTACAATGACACGAGATCTGTAAGAAACCCTGTAAATAGTTTCTACTGCTTGTTCAAACAAGTAATTGGGCGGAAGTTTTTAGGGTCAGTCAGATCACCTTTCTTTGGGAGAAGTATTGTTCGCCCTTTGGAGAACCAAGTCGGAACATCCCCTGCATCCACAAGAGAATTTAAACAGTGAAGCGTCTGGACACAAGGGAACAGTTTCTAATACCGGTTTTGAATACCATCAGGCCCTGGCGCCGTATTAGATTGGGACTTTTTAATGACATTTTGTGTAATGAAGGTGTAATGAAACAAAGGTGACCTTATTTAAAAAAATTAAAAAAATTATTCATGCATCTTTGATCCTTGGTTTGTCGCCAACATTAAACCTGGAAAAGTGGTTAACCTGAATCAATCGCATCTACTTCAGGCTTCTTCCACATGACATGGTTCAAGATGGTATTAGTCCCAATTCACTCACTTGCTAATGAATATGCTTTGTTTTGGGGGAACCAGTTTCCTTCCATTTTGTCACATGGATGGCAGGTATTGTGCTAAGATGGCATTGTGGGACAATGCACAGGAATTGTTCAGCAGCATCGAAATATATACTAGGAGTGGCTGACAGTTTCTGAGCAAAACATCGAAGGATGTGTTCTACACCCTTACCAGTTGTTTACATGTATAAGATACAAGGGGTTCCAGCTTACTGGTTGCATTTGCACCAAATACACAACTAGGCAGCGTATAATTCCTGGGAATATCCAACCTTTATTACATCATTTCAGCAAATTTTACCAATTCGTCTTCAATGTCCACTGTCCATAATCAGTTGTACAAGCAACAGTATCATGTTGCTCAAAGGCTCTTGCGCATGTGTCACTGCTTGCCTGTGTGTGCTGTGGTTTATCCGGCATATTATTGATAGTTAATCTGTATCTTCAGTTTACGTTTATTAGTATAGTCACTTGTATTGTCTTGTTTTATGGCTGAGGTGGTGTATTGGGGGACAGAAATATCGTCTCCAGCTGCCTGCAGGGAGTTGTAATTATAGAACGAAGATGGATGGGGACCCACAATTATCTTTCTGGTAGTGCAGAGATTTGCTGTTTTCAGAAGCCATGTGCTCTCAGTGCGCCTCTTTCTCCGTTGTGCATTTCTGGGTGAAAATGAATAGGAACATTGACGAGACAATTGCTTTATCACTGATGAAAGCAAGTATACAGAGCATCAGTCTTCAGTTTGGTGGGATTGGTACAAATAAATAACTTTTATTTCAAATGAAGTCGCTTAAAGTATTGTCCAGTCGAATGTCCTCACCTGGACCTTTTCGACACACATATGTAGAACATTCCCGATGTACCAAAACTCCTGAAACTTTTCAGTCAGAAGACATGTCTCTTCCTAGTACTTACAATGCAACTTTTCTCCTGTTTTTATGCTACATCAATCAAAATGCCACTTATAGTGCAAACAGAACCTTTAGATTTTAGAGAAATATTAAGTAACTTTGAAATCTTAGTTGGAGTTTTCGAGAGATCAAGTTGTTTAGCCAAATAAATCGTACCAGAATAACATCTAGTCTTTGAAATGAACTCATTTGAAAGAAAATGTTAAATTATAGTTATTAAATATAATAAACATGAGCCAAGATGCTTCTTTCTTCCTGAAACTGCAGTAATCTAGAACTTGCCGAATATTATAGACTTGCATAGGCTGTATTGGATATATACTGAACCAAGTTAAAAACTTCACAATCCTAAAATTTTAACATTTTGACCAGTTATCATTGTGGGCCCTTATTGTGTATTTAAACAGTAATGGCCACGTATTGTCTTCAGATAACACCCATTTTTGTGCAGGTGAATCGATCAAAATCATGTGCACAGCACTATAGTGTCAAAAGTGGTTTTTCACATGCAACTGGTCACTAGCCATAATACCGCACGTGTTTTCAGCCATACTTGTTAGCAGTCATTAACAAAAAAAAAGAAAAACACAAGAAAACAAAAGTCTTTACGGCCATTTGTCAAGCCACGCCTTTCAAATGTGCAGACGGGAACGTCCGTAGCTGAAGTCGCAAGGACGATGGGTTGTAGTCGACGGACTGTTTATGATTTACAGACGCGTCTACAGCAAACGGGTACCGCCGCTGATCGCCCTCGGCCAGGTATACCACGTGTGACGTCACATGCAGAGGATCGTCAGATGGTCTTACGTCACCTCCGTAACCGATTTTTGACGGCTACATCAACCAGAAATGAACTGTTTAGGGGTAGACTGAATGCACAAACTGTTCGAAACCGTCTGAGAACTGCTCACCTCCAAGCACGACGGCCATACTGCGGGCCGATTCTGACTCAATTACACAGACGTCAACGTCAAGTGTCGGCACAGCGACACTTACGATGGACTTATTGGAATCAAGTCGTCTTCAGTGATGAATCCCGATTTAATCTTCGATTTGCTGATGGTAGAGCGAGGGTGTGGAGGCGCCGTCATGAACGTTACGCCCAGTGTTGTGTACAGGAAGTTGCCAGATTTCGAGGCGGAAGTGTCGTGGTGTGGGGTGCTTTCTGTGGCAATGCACGTTCCAGGCCTCTTGTCATCCGTGGCAACCTCAACGCTGCTGCTTACCGCGACCAGGTACTGGCACCAGAACTTCTGCCTTTTATGGCAGCACATGGACCCTGTTTGATCTTCCAACATGACAATGCCAGACCCCACACAGCAATTTTGACAAGGAATTTCCTTCAGAATGCGGGAGTCAACGTCATGGACTGGCCGTCAAGGTCTCCCGACCTCAATCCCATCGAACACGTCCGGGATGCTCTTGGCAGAAGTCTGCGCACTCTCCAGAACCAACCACAGAACTGCTCATGAACAATAGTTTCAATGGATCTATTGCGTAGCCCTGTGTCAGTAATGGTAATACATCTATCCGACACTATACGTTTTCTATCTTCATTGATGGAAGTTGAGGGTCGTCCAGACCTAGGGTCATCATCAAGGTTTGTTCTCCCAGCTTTGACCATAGCTGCCCAACGTTTAACAGTGGAATAGCT